TTCAAGCTTTCCTGCTCCAGCATTGGAATGCGGGGCATGGACGTTTTTTTTTTATTTTGAAAATCAACAGTTTGCATTATGCAATTAAAAATCCTAACCAATAAAGTAGGGAATAGCTATCCAACTGTTGTTTTAGTTGTATTTTACTTCATATTATAGTTATATCAATGTAAATCATTGTTTTCCCTTGTGTTTCTCATTCTTTCCCTGCCATGTCGTAAAATGTGGTGAACCCATCGCTGTATTTGCTCCAAAGCAAATATTGGCCTTTCTAGTTTAACATAGAGTTAAATGATTGAGTTTTACTAACTCCATAAACATATGTCAGAGTCACTCTTGCAGTCTGATGTTATTGTGCCTCCATGGTACAGATACATATAGACATAAAGAAATTTAATTTTATCTAGTATCAGATACATATAGACATATAGCAATTTCAGTTATTTCAGTCTAAAACTATCATCTGGTTCAACTGTTAAACTTCACCATACCAGACTTTTTTTACCATTTTCGCATGCGCGAAAATGGTAACTCAGACGAGATTGAGATTGGATGGATGGATCAACGGTTCCACCCTTCAACGGCCATGCAGACATGCTAAGTCACCGCATGTCGCTAGATGTCGTTGTTGCGACGGCCATGCAGACATGCTGAGTTGCCGCATGTCGCTAGATGTCGTTGTTGCGAGTGCACTTTTTACCATTTATGCCTTGGACGTTTGTATACTTTGCTAATTTCAAAATCATAGTTCTATTAATGTTGCATAACAAAGCTGCTGACAAAACAAACTTAATTTGTCTTGAACAATAACTTGATTTTATTATTTGCCAAAAATGTTGATAAAGACATGTCTATAATCACAGTAATCAAGGATTTTAATAAACTGCATAAATTATGTCAATGAGCATTAGCAGTGTGGATTAGTCTAGATGTTCAGATTTCCATTAGCCGGCAGTCCAGAGGGTCACACGTCCGACCAATCAAGGCGCTGCAGGCAAAGCTTATTAAAAGCCTCCTTTTCAGGCGTTCCCGGATCGGTGTTTTTGTGTGTGTGTGTGTTGGGGGGGGGTGTATTTTCTGACCAAACGTAGATCGCACGCAATAGAAGCTCCGGCCTACATAGCTGTCCGTGGAACTATTGATATTACCTGGGTGCCTAACTTTCACCAACATGTCTTTTGTATTTTAGGAAATTAATTAATTAATGAGTGAGTGTTTAATTAACTTAAATAGGTATTGCATTGTTTGGCAAGGTATTTTCCATTGACAATTTTTAATGGATCAGGTTGATCAAATGATATAATGTAAACAATTATATATGATTAGTAAAAGATGACTTTTGAAGTTCTCTTCGAGTATTATTTTAGGGTTGAATCAGGGTCAACGCGAAAAAAAATCATGATCCGGTGATCGACATCATGCCCCCCCGCACACTTCATGTATTCAGTGTTCTAAATACCCGTCTTCAGTCTGCAATTTGCAGATAGATTTTCAAGATTTCAGGATAAAAATTACACAATCTGCAATTTGAAGAATGAAAAAAAAAACATGGTCCTCACAACTTCATATTCCCTTTGTTTGACCCGCCCGGCGCCCAAATCCCGCTGCGATTCAAGCCGCGGCGGCTTCCCGAGCCATGCAAATAAACCTAGTCCTGACGCCACAGCCTCCGATTTCCACCGAGCCAGCCCCGAGCGCATGCCGACAGCCAGGGATGTGGCTCAGATTTCCGACGATTTCCTATTTAGATCATTCGGAAGACTTCGGGTAGCAAACAAAATGGCCGCCATGCACATGATTTTATACTAGTAGCTTCGCTTCTCAACCGAAATGAGGAAGTTTAACCTCATTTGCAGACTTTAGAGGCCATGGAGTTGATTTGGGGAAGTGCTGAGACGCGATTTCGCTACGGCATATGGGATTTTACCGCGGAGGGAGTTACGTACGCCGGCAAAAACTTGCTTCAGCGATCGGCTCCAGAAAATTTATCTTTATGCTGCCGCTCAAGTCTTCTAAGGTGGTTTAACGAAGTTTATATAAATAATAAAGCCACTTTGCGTAGATCGATCTCCGTTTTCTTGCGATGGTATGAAAATTCAAGTACAGTATATTTCCAAAACGTTTGATATTTCTTTGTTCGTTGCCACATGTTGTTTATTTATCTTATTGTCATGTACAGTTACCAGCGTGAGTCTGAGTCGAGCCATTGTTCTTATGTGGCCGTTAGCACATGTTGTTTAAACAGACAGCAACATTGAAGAAAAGAACCGAGTTAACAGACATCGGCACGTTCCTTGAAGTCAGGTTTCCCGCCGTATTTAAATAAGAAATGTGTGGGCCTGCGGCGTTTTGAAAAGACGCGACGCGCTTTGGAAAGACCCCGCGCCGTGGCTCATTCAAATTCGCTACATTTTTTGCTAAGTTTAATGTCTTCACCCACGATTTTTGACCGTCAATGTTGACGGTAAGGACTTAAATTTTTACCGTCCGACGGGAAAAAATACCGTCAATTGACGGTAAAACGGGCGCTGGCTAAAGCCCTGGTTGAATGTCACGAGGTTTGTAAACTTAGATGTTGGGGATAAAGCCATAGAAGAGATTTTGAATAAAATTATATATATATATATTAACGTTACTTATAATTTAAGTTAAAATGTACTTTTGTGTCTCATTTTTTTATTCTGTTTAAAAGACTCTTAAAAGAGAGAAAACAGGTTATAAACTGTTATATACTTGACTTTTGTAATGTTTTAAACTTAAAGAGTTGAAATATAGAAGTGCATGTTCTCTCATTATATACAATGTTGATGAGAACTAGAACCATTTATATAACTTAGGTAAATTGAAATGCTAGGATGGGGAAAATGTTCGTAAAAACTGTAAGCCTGTAAGCGGCGAAAATGGTCAGCTTTTGCAGAAGCACTTGTTTTTACACCTACCCCCATGTTCCCGGTCAAGTGGTCAATGAGCCTGGCCGTGGCTTCCTTGACCGACGGCGCGTTGTTGACCGTTCCGCGGACCACGCACGTGGTGACGTACATCCTGGGTCTCTGCTTGAAGGCCACCGTGACGTTGTACGTTTGCTGTATTTGCTGGATCTGGGGTGATGACACATCTGGCACTGGCTGTAATGCACCCGTGATCGGCAATTCAAACATGAAGACTAGTGGTAACAACTCCTGCAAACAACAAGAGACACAGGTTATCAATGCAACAAGAAAGTTACAAGTCCAGCATGTCTTACAATTTTCATCACAGAAGCCATGCCCGTAGCCAGGGGGGGTTCGGGGGGTTCGGAAGAACCCCCCCACAAGGCTCAAAGGTCCACTTTTTGGTCCACTTTTTATGTAAAGGTCCACTTTTTGGTCCACATTTTATGTAAAGGTCCAAGTTTTTTCTTGAAAAGATGGACTGGAATCGTAGAAAAACTGCTCTCTTCGTCATTGAATAAAAATTTATCTCTGATTTTCTCTTGGAAATCCTCTCAAAAATGCACGAAATGCCATTTTAGAAGGTTCATTTTTCAAAATTTTCCGGGGGAGCATGCCCGGACCCCCCTAGGAACCTCGCGCCTTCGGCGCTCGAGGTCCACTCAAGCAGTGGGACGAACCCCCCCATTCACAATCCTGGCTACGGGCATGGAAGCAGTGGACTGCTCAAAGTTAAAAATTTTGGAAAGTCAAATTTTTTGTGTTGACAATTACACTTAATTAGAGTTATGAGTTTGGTTTCAATAGATTTAAAACTGTCAGTTACTCACCCTAATCTGTGCTCTTGCACTTTCCACACCGAGAACCAACCCTGCTATGGAAACCTATAAAACAAAAAAACAAGATGAAGTACTGTACAACTGTAATCTGTACAAACAATATTAGCTCTATTGCTGTCATCCATCTGACGAGCTCTTGACCAACATTAGCCCTATTGGTTCCTTCATAATCATTCCTACACATTGCTTGTACATATGTAACTAAACTGAAATAGTGAACAAACACCGCAATTACTCTTTCACTTCCAAGGTGGCGCTGCTACACAAGGTGATGCTGCTATGCAAACAAATGCACAGAAACCTGATTTTTCTCTTACCTGATTACTTTTTTCCCCCAGAGAAGACCTGTTGGAGTCTGGGAAGTGGATGTGGCACCCTGTTTCTTGCATGACCTTCTTGATGTTATTGCCGCCTTTCCCAATGACATGGGAGTGTTCCGTGTGAGAAACATCCATTTTCAAGGTCACTCTGTTACTCTGTTGTGAAGAACAAAAGAATAAGCCTCTTAAACTTGCATGGTAAAACTAGGAATGTTAACTTGCTTCTATTTTTTGTGGTTACCATCATGTGAACAAAGGTGTTGCCTTGAAATACTGAAGCGCTTCAAAGTCATTGATGGCAACCTGTTGCTTTTTACTTCAAAGATGAAGCACTGCAATATTTTGACAACCAATAGGTGGAGCTACTGACACAGCCATGCACAAAGGTTTAAATTTAATGTAAAGCAACATACACAAGCTAAATTGGACAGGACAATCTCTATCAGAAAAGCAGAAGTATAGCATGCTTACTTTTGTATCTAAAACAGCCATAATCTTGGTCTTGGCTGCTCTAACGTCTTCCTCTCTGCCTGCCACCTTGATATGTGGATCTGTGAAGAAGGAAAACTTTGTTAAAATGTATCGTGTGCCAGATTTCTTGAACAGAGTTTGTGCGTCTTGTTATTTCCACATTGTTGAAGAAAGACAGAAGTGATTATTACAGTCTAACCTGCCCAAGCAGCCACCTCTTCAACCTGGCCACCTGGTCATCACAACCACCCTTTCCCGATCCCAAATTTCTTGTTATTCATAGGCACAAGCATCCAAGATTACCCGGTACTACAGGTAAGACTGTAAATTTATGAGAACATGTCTTTCCTGGTCCTACATGCAGCTCTTGGTTTTGTCCATATGTACTAAAACTTTCTCTTTAATTTAACACAAAACTTAACTTTTCAAAAGGGAAGGTCCATGATCAGCAGGTTTAATGCTGACTTAGTCAAAATATCAAATGCATGCTGGGATAGGTTGCCCCTCTGCCATGGCTATGTGGACTGACTGCATACATGGAAACAACCTCTACTTGTTGACACACCAAACAACACATAAGCATTCACACTCAGGACACTTAGTAAACCAAGGGTGGCTTTGTTCAAAGTTTCTTTGCACTGGGCTGAATTACGAAAGTATCAGATTCAGATTGGAGTCCCTTCTTTTTTTGTCCTCCTTTCCTGGGTGCTGATTTTGAGACGAACCATCTGCGGCCACACAATGCAGCTGCACACTCCAGTGCAGAAGCAGGGATCACATTTCACAACACAACATTCAACAAACCAATTTCTTCACCTAGATACAAGACCAAGTGTCACAAGAAACATTTGTCAGACTTGAAGAAACTGGTTAGCACAACTTTCAAAGAGACACCATCAATACATTAGAAACACCACAATTTAAAGGTCAGCAAGAAATGGTCTGCATTAGAACTTGTCTACTTATAACCCCCAATGTTGCAAACAGGTGGGAAAGATGCAGTAGAGATATGTGATAGGAAGTATTCAAAACAAGGCATATTTATTTGTACCCAAGGTCTAGTTTAACGACTGCTGTACTCTGTCCACATACAGGAAAGATGGCATCATGGTGGCATTTAAAGGTGACAACAGTTCAGTAACTGCAGTGCCTGTAGCACACCTGACATAACAAAAACACTGTACAACCTTGTGTACCAAAATGAGAAAAGGTGAGGAGGTTAGATAAAGAGGGAGGGATTCAAGAAAAGACTGTCTTCATCATCAGACTGTCTGCCATTTTGCTTCTCAAAATACCTTTGTCTTTCATGATGTTAATATGTTTCACCTTTTTTTGGCATACAGTCAAACCTTTACAAATGAAAACCTAATGACCATCTGGCCAATGTGACCACTTTTTATTGGTCCCATAGATAACTTTTTTCATTAACACAAGCATTACGAGTCCCGTGTATAGAGACCACCTGTCAATATAAACCAGATTTTTTTGGTCCCCTGAGTGGTATTCCTGGGCTGTATTCTGTACATTTCTATAGTATAGATAACTACATGAAAGTACACTAAAGTTTCCCCAATAATGTCTGACTATTTCCATCTAACATAACCAATGAAATTCAGACACAATTCTCATTTTATCATGTAGAATTGCCATCTGTCTCCAATAATAGATGGATGGACCTTTTTATGTACTTGAAATGAAAGATTTTCTTTTCAAATCCTACCACCAGCCTCTATACTGGCAGACAGATTGGTTGAAAACCTGTCCAGTCCTACAGGAAAGCCAGGTCATGACCTCTTGTGTAACATTTGTTCCCATTCTGCACAGGTGTGCCAATGTCAGCCCTCCTGAAGGGTGAGGATGATTCAGTGGTAACCAGGGAGTCAGGGATTAAACACTGTGTGCTAAATTGATGACACAGCTTAGGAAATCTGTTGATAAGTGTGGTAATATGTCTTTCTGGATTTGGGGGTAATAATACAATAGCTATCATAGACTGAATGGCACGTTTGAAAGATGGCATCAAATGCTGTAAATGATGAGAGCATTGCCATTTTATAATTCATATTTTGAATTTGCTATGGACTGCCTCTGCTATCAGATAATTTTTCCAAAACATATCAACATAAAGTATGATATTATGTATGCACTTGTAGTTATGATGTAGATAATAAGACTACTCAATTGTGCTGCAATAACTCAACAATTTCTTTAAAAACAAAATAATCCATTGTAGAAAGTCTATTGACGAAAGATGGTGGCACTGTATTGTGCACTATGTTTCGCCACCCAGTTTTCCAAAAATAGTCTCTCAACCGTCGAACAAAGGTTCACTACAAATTGGCATAGCTTCAAAGGGTGCTTTCTCCCCGAAGAATGATATGTATGTTGTCAAAACATCCGAGCAGTTCGTCACAAAAACTGATCATCAACACGACGGCACTTTACAGGTGGGGAAAACAATCGGCAGGATTCCTACGATGCCTCCAGCTCGGTCCAGAATGTCCCAAGGTGTTTTCATCTACTGCGGCCTGTGAAATATCTGACATGCAGGAGGAAATATGTCTGGCACACACACAACACACCTCTGGGACACAATGACAGGGACGTTTTCTTCTGTGCCTTATCAGTGAATGGAAAGGAAATTAAGAGGTGTAGCTGACAGGTATAGGTATAGGTAGGCAGGAAACTCCTGGACTGCGTATCCGGGAAGATACCGTGTCACAGTGTAAAGGGACCTGGGCAATAACTGTGCATGTTGCCAAAAGGAGTGATGCAGACTGTGATACCGTCAAGTGCTTTCACCTATCAATCACAAAACCTGTACTGATAATAATGCTTCAACATCTGCTGTCTCAGACATTTTTAGGTGCAGGTAGAAATCAGAAGTACCTGCACAGCTCCAATATTTTACCTGCATATATCATGTATTTCGAATCCGGAAATGGTACTCTGACATACTTCATGTCTGCATGGTAACTGTACCGATCATGAAAACATGTGTCACTAAAACATTTATGGCATTTAATAGGATCTTGAATAAATAATGTATTTAGCACTGAACTGAACTGAACTGCTTCAAGGACATGTATGTCTAACTCTAATATCTCCAAGCAGATGTTGGGGGGAAGAGTGTAATGTTTTCTGACTGCTGGGTTGTCTGAGAAGTCTGGCACTGTGAGAACATTACAATCTTCCACCCAAATATCTGCTTGGAGATAAATTGAACTCTAAAATTGAGACAATCATATACGGGTACCATGTTTATTTATAACATTTGGCAAGGCTGAGGGCAATCTAAATGTAGGTCTGGACATTCATACGAGTGAGTCAAACTCAAAGAAAAATCCATACGTGTGGACTTAATGAGAGTTAAGTTCTCATCAGCATTCTCATTTGCAACTGCATTTTTGTAGACATGGGGGTGAAGGTTCAAATTCCAAATAGTTGGCATTTTTTATTATCAGATGCAGAATTGAACAGTTTCTATATAAATATTCAAATGTGGGTGTAAACAGGTATTAACCTTCAGCCTGCTGAAAAACAGTAGCCATTTGCCAACAATTTTGTGTACTATAGGGTTAGGCAGCAGGGAGAATGATAAGGTAATACACTTAGGGAAACATTGAGGTATCTGATATCTTTTACTAGAAGAGGAATGATAGCTGACATCAACATTTTCACCCTATTGATAACTACATGCAGCCTACATATAATATTACAATTAATGTCATTCAAGAAATTATATTCTCAACCCAGACATAAGTACTGTAACTTAAAAGGCAAATTCCATTTTGTCGTAGTAAAAATTTTGTAGCTTTACTAGGACTTTCACAGTGACAGTGATCCATGAGTGATTTTTTAAACATAAAAGATAGTTACAGTAATCGTTCTATAGGCAATAAATCCAAATATACCTGAACAGCAAACAATACATTGTTCATGTACAAAAGAGACATCATTCAGGCACACAATGAGTTAGATGGAACAAGATTCCTAAATTCCTATCAAATCCATTATTGAGCATCACATGGTGCCAGGTCGTAAAACCTGTCCTTTTATCTAAATCTGATAACCTATAACAATCCATCAATGTCACTGACATACTTAAGGCATCATGACCCATTTCATTTGGTATTCATCAAGGCATGGTGCCTCCTTGGTAAAAACTGATGTATTACTTGACACAATGACAGCCAAGCTTATAAGAATTGATATTCGTATTCAAAATACATTTGTTAACCCTAACAACCAAGGAAAGCCAAGTGACCTAGACAGACAATTCTGGGTCATCACACAATGGCTGTGCTTTGTGTGCGAGCGTGTACTACGTGACTTCCCCATCCTTGATAAAGTGGGAGAAAGAATTGTACTGGCATGTAATGACAGTCTAGGTTATTACACTACAGTGAATTACAGAGACTGTACATTGATTTTGTAGAATATAGCTGTAGGCATTACATGGACATTATCTTAAATCTCCAGGGCAACAAATTATCCTTATCTCTATACGAATATACCTTAACGATGTCTGGACAATTTCTTGCTACGCATTTTCTACTCATCTTTTTTTTTTTTCACTAACATTTTCTGGATCAGCATTGGGCTCTTGTTGAGGACAGCTGTCTAGAGTCTAGTTATGCAACTAATAATGATGATAATGATTTGGGATTTGGCTTTAGTATTGTAACTAATGTAAGACAGTGAAAAGGTATCATTCTTATGGGGGTGTTTATTCATTGTGGTTGTTTTTATTCATTTCTCATGCTGTAACAGATATGTGAGATTCAATGGGTGTTGCCAACATTAGGGACCAACAATATACATAACCGAAAGCCTACAGCAGAACTTTAAACTATCCCCAAGGTTCCTCCATAGAATTGACTAGCTTGTAATCTTGTTACATAAGGAACCAATGGTTTTTCTTCAAGTTCTTAAAGTCTATGCATCATTGGCTTTAACTCTGTAGAGATCTATAGCAGATCTATCCAATTGTCTTGCTCACAAACCGATAAACTACCAGATTAAGAAATACTGATGAAGACATAGCCTTTCTAACAAGTTGCCTCAGAAACAGTAGCAA